TGACACCATAAAGGCGCACGATTGCATCTCGCCATCGTGCTGGCGGCCTCCCCAGTGTTCGTTTTTTTTTTCATCACATGCATGGTAATTTAATATTTTAATAATGTCCATGTATTGTCTGTGTTGAAGGTGAACGGATCGTGCTGCGAAAATGTTGTTGGTTATGTGCCGATACCGACGGGAGTTGCCGGCCCGTTGCTTGTGAACAACCGAAAATACTTCGTACCATTAGCTACAACAGAAGGTGCACTTGTGGCCAGTACCAATCGTGGTTGTCGTGCTTTATTTGTAAGTTTTCTTTTTACTTTAACTCTGAGAACGGCCTTTTCGAATTTGCTAATCGGAGATGGTGATTTACTTGAGCGTTTGTTCAATCCCTTTGATTCAGCTGTAGTTCAGAGTACTTGAACAGACCTTTTTTGTTTGTTGGGAGCATATTTTTGGAAACGATATGAGGGTGTTTTACCGATTTTTAATGATGATGCCATTCGCATTGTGTTATCACGATCCTAGTAGCGTGCCCAGTGTGTGGGAAACACCTAGTTATAATTACTTGTCTTAACTAAAGTAATGAAACGTAAAGTAAGATATGAAAAGACAGTACAAAAGGGTGGTGAGGTTCTACGGAGTCGAAGCTCCCCAGAACAGGGATAAGTTGAAAAGAGTAGCTTGGAAATATTTCTGGATCCCTGGAATGGGGAAGAGTACTTTTATACCCCAGGGGTCAGAGACTACTAAGATTGCAGAACTTTAACGGGTTAGGGTGTCCAGACTTTGAACTAGGGATCGGAGTATTGCATCATAGTGACTCATTTATTTCTTACGCCATTTGATGTATTATGTGACAATGTTTGTTTTGTCGCAAATGTGAGCACCTGCGTGCTTTTTGTCTTTTATCTGGGTCGTTTTTGGGTGTAGAGATAAGCTGCGAAGAAAGAGTCGGATGGAAAGGAGAAGTGGAAAGAGGAAAACCCGAGAGGAGTGGGAGGGGAGGAGGTGGGAGAGGGGGGAGATGGTCGTTTCGTACTTTTTTGCCGTCCAGGATGGCTCAAAATATGTTCAAATTGGAATTCCAGTAGTTAAATAGCTTATTCACCGGTCATCAAGCACTAATTAAATACTCGAAGATTTTCGACAAAGGTAGCGCTTTGCCCTTTATAGGTCTAATCCAAAGCGTGCAACCTTTCAAAGACTGAAACTTAGGGAAGGAGACGGGGAGAGGCTGGGTTAAAAGGAGGGGCGGAAGGGGGGGAGGGGAAAGGCGGTCGATAATTGCGCAGTAGAAAGCTTTACAGTACTTTTTGAGGGAAAAAAATCGCGGTACTTGTAAATACTTTGCAGTTATCTTTTTTACATGGCTTTCTTGAGGATTTAGGAAAAGTGGTGTTGTATTTAACATTTTTAAGCCTTTTTTTTTAAGTAAAGCACACGGTTGTCTTATACACTGCAGGAATCTGGTGGAGCAATTGCTCGGGTATACAAAGATGGCATGACACGCGCTCCTGTTGTTCAGTTCGAAAGTACTTTGAAAGCTCTGTAAGTCCTCAGATTTTGCGTTTTCTCTTATTTTATCAATTTCAAACCCACCGATGCAAACTTTCAAAACGTCCGCATGGAACTCTCGATGCGGTTACCTTGAATTTATAATGCTCTCGGGAATAGTTTCGTTATGATGCGTTTTTACACCATTATGCGCAGCTGATAGTCGTTTTTTGGCTTCTGTAACCAAAACTGTTTCATCTGATGGAACGGTTTCTTGTGTTCCGCGTGATTTTTATCCTGCTTTCACTGTTTCGGAAAGGAACCCGAGAGGAGCGCATATAAGAAATTTAATATAAATTCAAAAAATATCACTAATTTGTAGTTTTTATTTTTTTTCACGAAATTAAGGCTTTTAATTTTTAGTGAAATGAAAGGTGTGCTCGAGTCACCAGACTGCTTCAGAGAACTCAAAGATGTCTTCGATGCTACCAGCAGGTATTTTTTTTATTAAAAACTTAAGCCGGCTGAGATATTTTACGTGAATATTCTACCGAAGAAGCTGCAAAGTATTCACAGTTGAATTTTGCTATTTTCGACGAATTTCGCTAAGCTAGATGTTTCTGCGAGATTTGTTTGAGAACTGTGTCTAGCGAAGGGAATTTTAGAGAAATCGGTCTCCTTAGATACACTTCTTTTTCAGATTTTTGAAAACACGTGCTGAAAAAAAGCTTACATTTTCAGTTATGCTAAGCTGCAGAGGCTCGAGGCCGATGTGTGTGGCCGTTTGCTGTTCATTAGGTTCGAAGCTACTACGGGTGATGCGATGGGAATGAATATGGTTTCGAAGTAGGCATTTGTTTCACTTCTGCTTATATGCTTTTTGTTGAGGTTCTATGGTAATATTGAGGGTTTTTCTAATTATGAAATTTTGTTCCTCGACTTTCCCAAACATTCTTTATATTCCGCTTATTTCTTTATTTCTTCCTTTTTTTCGCGTATAAGTAATTTAAATTTTCTTTTACAATTTGTTTTTAGCGATATCTGTTCCCTCCCAGCCGCTAATCTATCTAATTGTTGCCTAGGATTGACAACGTTTGGGATAAGGGATGGCGTTGAACACATACAACCCATGCATAGACACACAGACGCACACACACCCACACACAGACACACACACACACACACAACTCTTGTACTTTTATTAGCAAGATTGTCAAGTCGGTGTGATCAGTGATCCCTTTAGGCGACGAAGCAAATATCGAATTTGCCAGCCAACTGCCTTGCCCGTTGCTTAGTCGACAAACCGATCTATGAATTGCAACTAATCCAAGATGATTAACTTTTATTTTTAATTTCTTTCGTTGGATTCAGGCAATCTCTATTTCGTTCTTTGTTTTCAAATATTTATTACTGGTCTCTATACATTTTCCCTTAAAAAGCTGCTAACATTATTTTTGTCTTCACATCTTGATGCTCTTGCTGCTCAGGTGTTATTGTTCTTTAGTTCATTCTAATATATCGAATATTGCAGGGGTGTAAATTGCGTTCTGTCTCATCTTAAAAAGAAATACCCAGAAATGGAGATATTATCATTATCTGGTAATTATTGCGTCGATAAGAAGGCGAGCGCAATCAATTGGTTAGCTTGTTAAATTTATTAAAATTTTTTACTTCCGGTAAGCCTGAGTTATAGCAAAACTCAAAACACGTAGTAAGCAAATCTTGCGTTATCTTTACCCGAAGTAGCCGAATTGGTGGCATAGGCCAACCAACAAACAACCGCTGGTAAAGATGTTGATGGTTCCTTCTTCCGAGGGTTGCTTATAAAAAAGCTATTAACCGGTTTTTCTCTTTTTCGGTTTCTGATATGCGCTATATCAGCTTATCAGTGAAACTGAAAGGCGTATAATAGAGGAATAGATTGCCCTATTGATGATCTACCTTCCAATAATCAACATAAAAGACTTGCCACTGTACCTTGCCTAACAGCGCCACCATTAGTACCTCCCTTTTATGAGGATTTCGAGAAGCTGAGATACACGCACAGTTTTTTTTTTGGAAAGACGGCGGAACAACAATATTTTGCTTATCATACAAAGGCTAGCTGTTTTTG